TAGTCATTACAATTAAATAATAATTATAATAATTTAAAAAATAATAATGACTATTTTGTAATAATGTGATGAGTAAGTATAAGAACTTGAAGAAAGAGTTAGATATAGTGATGATGAAAGGAACTCGAACTCGGGTGCCATCTACTGGAGAAGAATGAAGCCCCTGCATGAGGGGAGAGTTGCTTTTTGTTAGGAAAGAAAGGGATAGACCCCTAAGATTCTAGTGGATCACGCTGACACATTATTACTGTGTTGTGTTCATATCCGATCCAAAATTGATTCGGAATGTATGAGAGAATTTTGTATTTAGCTACAAGAGATGTTTATACAAGGTGGGTACACTTGATTTGCATCCATACTTGTACACTCTTTATGGACAAGGCAAGGTGTCAGAGTACAAAAACTTGTGAATAAACCCCATTAATCCCATTTCTAATTCATGGGCTGGCTGTTCGAAACTGGAAGCCATCGCCTACGCGCTTTGTTGTGGGGCATATCCAGCACAAAATCCTTGGACCCAATACCTGAAATTCTCAGGTACCAAATAAAGTATGTTATTCACGTTCAGAAAGCTAAAAACGCCAAAACTTCTCTCATGTTCATCAATGTAAAAGGCCTAATGGTATAGTCTAGTAAAACCACAAATGCAGCTTCTTTCATCCCTTGGCATACAAGGAAGTTGGGAGTGCAGTATCGGTTCTAGTTATTACCGTTATTAGATTTTCGTAGGCACCAAGATCATATGGATGTTGGGAAATAAACGAGAAACGAGTAACGAGTAATTTCCCTAAAACCAGATTAATGAGATTGCGAAATAAAAGCGGAAAAATAATACCCGAAATTGATAACGGAGTTCAGCCAATTTTGCTTACGTCTCCGGACTGCTGCAGATCTTTTACTAAAGAGAAAATTTACAGGTGTTTACAAAACACTCACTACTCACTAGAAAACTCTCTAGCATTGAGAGAAAGAAATGATTTGGGATTTTAGGATGATTTTGAAGCTAAATGAGCTAAGGTATTTATAGTTGAAACTTAGGGACTAATCTTCTAAATACCCTAAAGTTCAATGACTTAATTTTGTAATTATCCCTATTACAAAATAATAAAAAATTTAGCAGCCCCTAATTTTTCAAGCAGTCGGCTGCTAATGTGTTTTTTTTTTAATTTTCAACAATCTCCCACTTGAAGACTGATTTTAATCTTTCTTCACACCTCGATCGATGCAGTAGCTTTCTGGTCTTATTACTCTAGCATGTCAACTGAAGCTGAACACAACTTCAGTTTGTCCGTAGTCACCGTCTTTGTCAACATGTCTGCCGGATTTTGAGCTCCACTGATCTTTTCAAGTTTCAAAATCCCATCTTCCAGAAGAGAGCGGATAAAATGATATCGCAATTGTATGTGCTTCGTCCTGGAATGAAAAGACGGATTCTTTGCTAGATGGATAGCACTTTGACTATCGCAATACAAGACATTGTTTTCTTGTTTCTTGCCTAACTCTTCCAAGAAACTTTGGAGTCAGACTATCTCCTTGCTGGCTTCCGTAACAACGACATATTCTGCTTCAGTTGTGGAGAGAGCAACTATCTTCTGTAGTTGAGAAACCCAACTCACTACGGTTCCTCCTATAGTATAGACATACCATGTAGTGCTCCTTATAATGTCAACATTTCCGGCTAAGTCAGCATCTACATAGCCTGTTAGTATTGTATCTCCACCTTTGAAACAAAGTGCTTTGTTTGTGGTACCTCGCAGATATCTGAGGATCCATTTGACTGCTTCCCAGTGTACCTTGCCCGAATTATTCATGTACCTGCTAACAGCTCCCACTACTTGAGCAATATCTGGTATAGTACAAACCATGACATACATCAGACTTCCAATTGCTGAGGCATACGGCACCTTCACCATGTGTGCACGTTCTTCCTCCGTCTTTGGTGACTGTTCTTTGGAGATTCTGAAATAAACACCTAAAGGTGTACTTACTGGTTTAGCATCTTGCATATTGAACCTGGAGAGTACTTTGTTGATGTACTCAGCCTGTGATAATATCAAAGTCCCCGACTTTGTGTCTCTCTTGATCCTCATCCCAAGAATCTGCTTTGCAGCGCCCAGATCCTTCATAGCAAACTGCTTCGACAAATTTTGCTTCAAGTTTATAATCTCTTGCATGTCTGAACCTGCAACAAGCATGTCATCAACATACAACAATAAAATAATGAAGTTGTTGTCGAACTTCTTGATGTAACAACAATGATCTGCTTGGCATCTGGTAAAACCACTACTACTCATGAAGTTATCGAACTTCTTGTACCACTGTCTAGGAGCTTGTTTTAAACCATACAAGCTCTTCTTTAACCTGCATACCAGGTTTTTCTTGCCTGCCTCTATGAAGCCTTATGAATGCCTCATATAGATTTCTTCCTCCAAATCACCATGAAGGAAAGTTGTCTTTACATCTAACTGCTCAAGATGTATATTCTCTACAGCTACAGTTTTTAACACCAGTCTGATTGTAGACAGTTTCACGACTGAAGAGAAAATTTCATTGTAGTCAATACCTTCTTTTTGCTGAAAACCTTTGACAACCAATCTTGCTTTGTAGCGTTTGCTCCCATCGTGTTCTTCTTTGATCCTATAAATCCAATTGTTATGGAGCGCTTTCTTGCCTGGTGGTAATTCAGCTAATTCCCACGTCTGATTTGACATAAGCGAGTCCATCTCATCTTTCATGGAAGACTCCCACTTGACTGAATCCTCCACCTACATTGCTTCATCATAGCACTCTGGTTCACCATTGTCAGTCAACAACAAGTAATGCAAAGAAGGCGAATAGCGTTGGGTTGGTTTAGGAATTATGGAGGAGCGTCTCAGTTATAGTGTGCTTGGTTCTTCTTGAACTGCTTCAGGATTGATATGAACATCATTTCCATAAATCTCCTCGAACTCAGCAAATTCCTTTGTTTTAGCTTCGGTATTGGAGCTACTTGATTCTACAGTTGACTTGTCTTTGTACATCACATTCTCATTGAAAATGACATCTCCGCTTCTGATGATCTTTCAAATTTCGTAGTCCCAAAACCGGTAACCGAACTCATCACCACCATAACCAACAAAGACACATTTGTTGGACTTGGCATCAAGTTTACTTCTTTCAGCAGAGTTTATGTGTACATAAGAAATACAACCAAATATTCTTAAGTGTGAAAGGTTTATTTCTTTCTTGCTCTAAACTTCCTTCGGTATTCCACCATCCAAGGGTATTGAGGGCCCACGATTGATCAAGTAAGCTGCAGTGTTGATAGCTTCAGTCCATAGAAATTTGGGTAATCTGGCATGTATCCTCATGCTTCTGGCACGTTCATTCAGAGTTTTGTTCATGCGCTCCGCTACGCCATTCTGCTGTGGTGTCATGGGAACTGTTGTCTCCATCTTGATCCCATTATTTGCGCAAAATTCTCTGAATCTTCTATTTTTGTACTCTCTTTCATTATCAGACCTCAACTACTTGACTTTCAAACCAGTCTCGTTTTCCACCATGGCCTTCCATTTTCTGAAGGTATCAAAGACTTCTGATTTCTTTTTCAGAAAATAAACCCACACCTTCCTCGTAGAATCATCGATGAAGGTGACATAATATAATGAGCCTGCAAGAGATGGAACTGGAGATGGTCCTCATACATCAGTATGAACCAACTCTAACTTTTCAGCCTTGGGTGTCTTACCAATCTTTGCAAAGCTGACTTTCTTTTGTTTACCAAAAATGCAATCCTCGCATAGTCCGACATCTACACTCTTTAGATCCGGCAGCTTCCCTTTTGATAAAAGTGTCTTCATCCATTTCTCGCTCATATGACCAAGCCTTTGGTGCCATAGGTTTGATTTTTCATCAGCATCTGCTGCAGCAATGATATTCTCTAAGTTTGAGGTTACATAGAGAGTACCAGTCTTCTTACCACGAGCAATGACGAGTGCTCCTTTGGTAATCTTCCATTCACAGCCTGAAAAGGTTGTACTATAACCTTCTCCATCAAGCTGTCCTACAGAAATCAGATTTCTTTTGAGGCCAGGAATATGTCTCACTCCTTTCAGCGTCTAGGTGGTCTGGTTTGGCAACTTTATTCGGATGTCTCCTTTTCTGACGATCTTCAAGGTTTCATTAACAGCTAGATGAACATTCCCAAAATCACCACTGACATAGTTCTCCATTATTTCTTGGCATGGGGTGGAGTGAAAAGATGCCCCTTAATCCAAGATCCATGATTCAATCAGACTGTTGACGCTTAGAATCATGACATCACCTGTCTCCTCTGTCACGTTTGCAGATTCCTATGCACCGGTATTTTTCTTCGGTGCTCGACAATCTCTTTTAAAGTGACCCTTCTTACCGCAGCTATAACAGGTAAAATCTTTCTTTCCCGTTCTTGATTTTCCCCTTCTAGATTTGGATCTGCCATGATTTGAATTTATTTCTGAAGTTCTCCCTCTAGACTCCGTATGCAAGGCTAAGGAGGTTAATGCTTCGCCTGATTCTCTCCGTCGAATTTCTTCGATCAGTACCAGATCCCGAACATCGTCAAATAATACACAAAATTGATAACAGAGTTCAGCCAATTTTGCTTACGTCTTCGGACTGCTGCAGATCTTTTACTAGAGAGAGAATTTACAGGTGTTTACAAAACACTCACTACTCACTAGAAAACTCTCTAGTATTGGGAGAAATAAATGATTTGGGATTTTGGGATGATTTTGAAGCTAAATGAGCTAGGGTATTTATAGTTGAAACTTAGGAACTAATCTTGTAAATACCTTAAAGTTCAATGACTTAATTTTGTAATTATCCCTATTACAAAATAATAAAAAATTTAGCAGCCCCTAATTTTTCAAACAGCCAGCTGCTAATGTGTTTTTTTAATTTTCAACAATGGATGTTTGTAGGCGTGCCCTGCATGATACTGCCAGGTTTAAAATTAAAAACTAAATAAGTAAACAATCATTCTAAGTGGGAATCAGATTAAAAATAAGCATAAATTCAGCAAAGAGAATCCTCATTGCCTCAATTGTGGTCTTATTTTGCAAAATAAGGTAGGTATGCCAACCCAAGAGAACACTTAAAGCCAGACTCAGGGGAAGTAGCAACAGTCCAAATACAACCTGAAAAACACAAACTAGTAAGCATACCACAAATAAGGTAAGTTCTAGCTCTAGGACATTGGTAAATCATCGACATTACATATATGATTCCGAAAGAGACTGTACTCTGCCGCTCATCGCTTTGGGAATCATTAGTTAGACTACCCACAAGTAAAACCTGACATTCTAGAGAATAAGAAAATATATGAGAAGAAAAAGATGAAATTATCTCATCAGAATCCAACTGGGGTACCCCATTACCATTGCAGATGCCAAATTCAAGCATGGGAAAAGAAAATAGCTTTCACGTACCAGAGAATAGATGCAAGCGATTTCGGCATATACAAGAAAGATGAAGAAGACCTTGTAGTTGGCATGGCCAGAGTTTTAAATTGAGGTCGTGTTTTTGGTCATTTCGAGTTTAATGTGATTATGTCCATCGCGGACGCTATTGGGCGCTATTGCGGGTGTTGCGGGTAACTCGGACGGTGGCGAAATCGCTATTTCGTGGACGAAATCATGTTTTCGGACCGTGATTTAAAACCCTAGGCATGTCCCACACAATTATTTATCCAAATGAAGTGGCGGTCCTTATAATCAAGAAGAACACTTTTTAGTATTGAGGACATTTTAGACATGCTTGAATCATGAAAGATTGCACATGTCATTCTCAAAAGGCATATCTTGCAAACAAAACAATGATGTGCACGGGGAGGTTTGAAATGCGAACACTTCGGGCAATATGTCAAGTCCCCTCCCTACAACAACACTCCAAACACGACACGTGGATTATTTTTGAGATCATTTTGACTCACAAGAGATGCAATTAAAATCAGTTTCTGAATACAAGGCAAATCCAAGCAAATAGGGCAAGCCAACTTCATTCAATTGTTCAGACTTTATAAAATATGTTACAAAAAGAAATAAGAATAACCTCAACATACATGACAAAACAAAAAACCCATAAGCGTACCTTGCGTTGGATCTCATGTACAACAAAACTGGAATCTTCAAAGTCGGGCAATGTTGGAAAACAAAACTTGTACGAGTAATTTAACTATAACCAGATTAGTGAGAATACGAAATAAAAGCAGAAAAATAATACCTGAAATTGATAACGGAGTTCAGTCAATTATGCATACGTCTCCGAATTGCTGCAGATCTTTTACTAAGAGAAAAATTTACAAGTGTTTACAAAGCACTCACTACTCACAAGAAAGCTCTCTAGTATTGGGAGAAAGAAATGATTTTCGGTTTTGGGATTTCGATCTGCCACTATTTGAATTTATTTATGAAGTTCTCCCTCTAGACTCCGTGTGCAAGGCTGAGGAGGTTGATGTTTCACCTGATTCTCTCCGTCGAATTTCTTCACTAAATACTAGATCCCGAACATCGTCAAATTTTAATTTGATGTTTCCCAACGAGCTACTGACTGCTGTAACAATAGCATTCCAACTGTCTGGTAGAGATGATAAGAGAATTAAAGCTCGAACTTCATCATCGAATTCAATTTCCACTGAACTCAAATGGGTTGTGATTATGTTGAGTTCATTTAGGTGTTGAGCCACTGATGCCCCTTCTGCCATCTGCAAATTGAATAATCGCATCATCAAATGAAATTTGTTTGAGACCGATGGCTTCTCATACATACTGGAGAGAGCCTCCATAAGATCCGTCGTGGTCTTTTCCTTTGCTATGTTGAAAGCAACATTGCGGGATAACGTCAGTCGGATAACTCCGAGGGTTTGTCTGTCGAGAAGAGCCCAGTCTTCATTCTTCATGCCCTCTGGTTGCTTTCCTGAGAAAGGTTGATATAGATTTTTCTGGTACAGAAAATCTTCAATCTGCATCTTCCAAAAGTCAAAGTCCGCACCATCGAACTTTTCAATTTTCACCTTTCTTTCGTCTGCAGTCATCGCTCCCAATCGAATCTGGCTTCGTTCGGATCGTTTCTGACAATTCTTGTGAACCACCGTGTATTAGAACACCTCCGTCGACAAATTCGAATCGCCGAAATTTTTTTTTTACTATTCACGAAATTCACTATTCACGAAATTCACTATTCACGTGAATAGTAATAAATAGTAACCTCGTAAAAAATTGACAAAATTCACAACCAAAAGCTCTGATTACCAGTTGTTGGAAAATAAAACTCGTTTACTCGTTTATTTCCCAACAGGCAAGAAAGTAGACGGCACCCGACCTGGATCCATGGTGATTGCAAAGATGTAATTTAGCGCACGCATGACGGTGAAACTAGTGAAAGAGACGACGTTCATGATACCAGGTGAGGTCAGTAGACCGAACCACCTCTCAATGAAAACAAACAACGTAGAAAAATAAACGAAAACGATGGAGGAAACAACAACCGTTACAGGCACCCAAAAGATAAAGCCTCGGTTCATGATTTTAAACGTTTTTTTCTCTACAATGCCGAGGCGAGTGGTGGAGGTGTCGGCGTTGAAAAATGACGGCGTCTCTGGTCCTGGCTGATGTCTAGGTGGATCCTTTTTCAAAAGAAAATAAAGATTGGAGTTTTTTTTTTGGGAAGTTTGTATCACTAAACAACTGTTTATATCAATGGATCGTTGCCGTTATAACTCAATTGATTTGAACTTTTTTTTAAGTAGAGTCAGTTTTATAAAATTTGAGTCGAGTCCAGTCGAGTCAAATTTTTAAATTTTTATTTAAATTTAATTTAGAAATATTTATAATATTATGAAATTATTTAATTCTAATTTAAATGATATTTTACAATCATATAAAATACATATATACATTTTTTGTATTTTTTATATGTGATTTACATAAACCATATAAAGTATAGGGATTCAACTTAAACTTGAAAATCAATCTACTAATTATTAAAAATTTTGAGTTATTCGAGTTGTATTTTACAACTCGAATTGAATTTGAAATTTTTTCGAGTTGAGTTTATAAAATTACAATTCGAATTCAATTGAGTCAAGTTTTTCCCAAATCTAGTTGAGTAAAAAAAATCAATTTTGCGAGTCGAGTCGAGTTTTACACCCATGATTTCCTTTTTTTATAAGTTTGACCTCAAATAATTAATTTTCTCAATATGTTCTCCTTAAATCTTATTGTCGTAACCGGTTTTCGCCCGGGCACGAAATTTTTACTCGGCGAGAAAAGTGATGTGAATAAATGGTTTTTAAAATGTTTTGGGAGTCGCTACCGGCCTTTTGGGTTAGGTAGGTCAAATACCTAAAATTTATCTTTTAAAAGAGTTTTTAAGAAAACATCAGTTAAAAGATAAACTAATCTGTTTTTTAACCAAAGATTCGTTCCTTTTAATAATAAAAAGGGATTCGTGGTCGATTACGTTTGGGGAATGATTAGCACCCCCACAACGCCCAAAATTGGTACTTATTAATTATAAATTATCTCTATTATTGGAAATTTAAAAATTCAAAAATATATTTAATTTATAATCCTTTTTATTTCAAATTTATTAGTATCTTTAATAAAATCAATTAATTTATATATAAATAAGATATTTATTTATTAAGAAATATCAGAAAATGACTTCTAGGTGCCTTAAGACAGCTCTTTTCTTCGATATTAAATAAATATTAATAAAAAATTAGTATATATTTTATAGAAATAAAAAATATCAGAAAACGGACTTCTAGGTGCTTTAAGACAATCATTTTCTTTAATATTAATAAATATATTAAAACATGCTTATAATAATTAAAAAGTATTTTATATTAAATTTATAAATAAGATTTTGATAAAATAAATAATATATATATATATATATATATATGATTAAGTAATAATAAAAAATAACTAAAATATAAAAGAAATTACAATTATAGAATTAAATCACAAGATATATAAAACTTATGGTCAAAATTATATAAAATTTAATTATTAAATTATAGAATATAAACAATTAATGGTCATAGTTATAAATATTATGTAGTATATACATTAAAAATTAAAATGGGACTAAAATAAATTTTAATAAAGTTTAAGGGATTAATTATAATATGTACCTAAATTACTAGTCAGGATTAAAATAAATATTATTGAAAGAGTAAGGACTAAATACATATTTTACCTTAATTATTTATATAAATATTCGGTCAGGACTAAATTATAAGAAAATAAAATTAAAGGACTAAATCATAACAAATAGGAAATGATTTCAGTGACTAAAATAGAATGTTACAAAACTAAGATGGTTGCGGAAAGGATTTGGCCAAACGCAAAATTACGGATATACCTCTTCCCAAAACGACGTCGTTTGGGAAGGGGTATAAGCATCCTCATTTCTCTTCTCTCTAACTGAGAGAGAATTTAACATTCTCTCTCGGTTCTCTCTTCAATTCCCTCATCTGAGGGAAATGAGCTCCGGTTGACGGTCACGCTCCGGTCTCGACCACCGCCGCCGGCCACCGTTATCGGTGGTCAGAAAATTCTAAAATCTCTCAAAATATAGATCGAGACGATCTAAAACCGAATCCGACCTCCCTTTCCCATAAAACATCTCCTATTTACATAGATCTACAAAAAATACCTTCGGTATTTTGCTTCTACGGCGGCCTATGAACTCCGATGGAGTCGCAGCTTCTTCAGTAAGGCTTCTCTCAATTTTTGTTTCGATCTTTTGATGGTTTGGTTGCTGTGTTCTCTGGCTTGTTCCTCTCTATCTCCTCTTTTCTTTTTTTCAGGTTTAGTGGCTTTATAGCCACCATGGTGATGGCCTCGGACCAGTCCAAAAGGGGCTCTTTGGTGAGTCACCAGACTATGGTGGTGACTCACCATAGATTTGTAGTGTGGAGGGGCAGCTGGATCTTCTGGAGCGTTCTATTGAAGCGGTGGCAGCAACTTCTTAAGGCGGCGGGGTGGCAGCAGTAAGGGAAGCGACGATATGGCCCTAGGGTGATGATACCCTAGGGTTTCCTCTGGCACATCTGGGGACCGTTGGATCAAGGCCAAATCCAACAGTTGAGAAGAAAGACGGCTGAGAGATGATGCTGAAACCCTAAGAGGGTTTAAGGTTTATTATTAGGTTTGGGCCAGTCTGTTTGGGCCAGTCTGGTTTGTAATCGGGCCTATAGTTTTGGGCCTGCAATGTATTAAAATTAATTAATTATTTAATAAATATAATATAATAATAATATTAAAATAAAATAAAATAATAATAATAAATGAAACAAATGAAATAAAAAACTAGTGTCTTCAGCTGCCCCTCTTTGGTCATTCTTGTGTTAACAAGAATATGGCAAAGACGAAAAGACAATAAGTTTTTTTTCATTTGACTTCACTTGATTATGATGGAAATGTTGAACAAGTTCTTCTTCTTTGGGATTAGTTCTTCTCATTATGAACTTTTTCACTGGGGATGATAATTTATTTCCTTTTATGATGTAATCTAACAAAAAGTTGAACAAATTCTTCTCATTATGAACTTCTTCTTCTTTTTTAGATGAGTTCTTCTCATTATGAACTCCTTCTGGAAATGCTGATCTTCAAAAGAGGTATTGTTAATTCATCTTCATATGTGATGAATTAAATTAAGGTTGAACAAGTTCTTCTCATTATGAACTTCTTCTCCTTATTCAGATGAGTTCTTCTCATTATGAATACTTCTGAAAATATTGATGTTGATCTATCTCCTTCTGTGATAGAGTCATACAAAGGTTGAACAAGCTCTTCTCATTATGAACTTCTTCTTCTTCTTCAGATAAGTTCTTCTCATTATGAACTTTATCTGGAAAAGCTAACCATCGAGTGATGAATTAAAGCGAAAGGTTGAACAAATTCTTCTTATTATGAACTTCTTCTTCTTTCTTCAGATAAGTTCTTCTCATTATGAACTCTAACTGGCAATGATAATCCATCGAGTGATGAATTAAAGCAAAAGGTTGAAAAAAATTCTTCTTATTATGAACTTCTTCTTCCTTCTTCAGATAAGTTCTTCTCATTATGAACACTAACTGGCACTGCTGATCCACCGAGTGATGAATTTGAGCAAAAGGTTGAACAAGTTCTTCTCATTATGAACTTCTTCTTCTTTCTTCAGATGAGTTCTTCTCATTATGAACTCTACCTAGCAATGTTGATCCATCGAATGATGAATTTAAGCAAAAAGTTGAACAAGTTCTTCTCATTATGAACTTCTTCTTCCTTCTTCAGATGAGTTCTTCTCATTATGAACTCGACCTGGCAATGTTGATCCATCGAATGATGAATTCAAGCGAAAAGTTGAACAAATTCTTCTCATTATGAACTTCTTCTTCTTTCTTCAGATGAGTAATTCTCATTATGAACTCTTCTGGAAATGTTGATCCATTGAATGATGGATTCAAATCATTGCTAAAATCTTTGAGTTCCTGTCAAATATTCAACATGGATAAAATGAATGAAAATGCCCCTATTTGCAAATGTCTAGATATGATGCATGAATGTTAAGTTCATCTTTATTTGATTTCAAAGTGTGAACTCGGTCTTCCTTCACTTGGTCAAAATGTCATTTCAAACTGCATTTCTGATTTGGAAGAGCAATCTTTGTGTCTTATTTGCTTCATTTAAGTCTCAGAAGAAATGTTTCATTTATGGAACTCTTGCCGTAATCAAAATTATGACCTTGATGCCCCATTTTTATCTTTGATAACATCAGCTTTCTTTATCTGGACTTGTGTAGAAATTCAATAAAACTTTCATCTTTAAAAAGAGAATCTATCATCTTTGGAGAGGAAATCTATCATCTTTAGAGAGAAAATATATCATCTTTAGAGAGTGTAAATTTAGACATGTCATTCTCAGCAGGGATTAATTAAGAGAACAATGTATGTTCTGATTTGACTCTTGCAACACATTATAAGGAGGATTTATCCTAATTCCTTTCATGTTTCCACATCTAATTGGATCTCTGACAAGGCAACTTGTCATTCAACTTTAGTTGGCTCCACTAGTTTCTTGTTGTAAAACATTTGACAACACGTTCATCACTTCTTGTGATTTCTGCCCAAATTTCTTAATCAAATGAAGCTTTTTGCATAGTGTTCAAAGCTTTTGTATGATTTCACAAGACCACTTGAGAACAAAACTTAGTGGGGATACAAGTGAGATGTTGGTATGACCAAAAAGTTGGTCAAATTCATGATATATGCTAGTGCCGAGTTGAATAAGAGATACCAATTGATCTTGATATCATCTCGGGAAAGGACAAATGTGATACTGATCATGTTTTCTTTCATAATGAGCATTGTAGGAAGTAGAAACATATCAGCTGTAGGATCCATGTACAGAACGATATCCATGGAATTCTTGCCACTGGGGATGAAACGCACATGATAAAACCAAATGGATGAAAACTCAGTTTAGCCTGGCTGGAAATGACAACCCCAGTAACAACGGGAATAAGGGTAAT